CATTGAGTATAAAATTTGTAGAGGATAGGGGGGTTGAAAAAAAATTGGACCCCCCCTGATATTTATTGATTGATTGCCCCCCCTCCCCCTCCCCCCCCCCGGGCGCGCACAAACATACACACGAGCGTGCGAGGCAATAAGTTTTTTTTAATAATTTTTGATTGACTGGTTGGTTGATTGGTTGATTGGTTGGTTGATTGGTTGGTTGATTAATTAGTTGATTGGTTGGTTGATTGGCTTGGGGGGGGGTCCGCCCTCTATGCATATGAATATACACACACACGCAAACACACACACACACACACACACACACACATACATGCACGATAACATATTTTTTCCCCCCATTTTTTTGATTGATTGATTGATTGATTGATTGATTGGTTGGTTGTTTGGGGGGGACGTCCCCTTTCCACGCGCACGCACACACACACACACACACACACACACACATCCCACCCGGGGGGATTCAAGTGTGCTCAGCCATTCAACGATAATCCTCCCCCCCCCATTTTTTGTTATTTAATATGTATATGTAGAATACGACCTTCGCATATCATTTACCAAAGAAAAAAACTTAAAAAAAAAAATAAAAAAGTTGGCGTTTGGCCAAACGTCCGGAAGGGGGGACAAACATTTGGTTGTTCGTGTTCAGCAGTTCGGTTGTGTTGTCACATCGGTGCTCTAGCTGGGTGGGCAAAATGTATATTTCTCGGTCCCCTTCCGAAATCATAACGAAGGGGAAACACTATTTCGGTGGCAACGGGCACCCCACCACTCTCCACATTCACAAAAAACAAAATATATGGCGATGTATCTTTCTATGTGCTAATATAAGATCCATTCTCACTTGGCACTTAGTCAGGGCCTGCCAATGGGGAGGGGCTAAAAAACAGGTAGCAACATGGGACTTTATCTGACCTTGGGCGCGATTGCAGCCGAATCCATTTTTAGGTATGTTGTTCTTTTCATTTAGCCCCTCCCCGTTTTCGTTGCGAATCATTAGGGCCTTGGTGGCTAGCGATGAGCCAACGGGTACACGTGACATGACCACTCTTTTAAGTTGTTTAGGCTCTGAATTCATATCCTTATTTTCAATAGAATTGGTTTATATTTCCTACTCCAATGACCGTGGACACCCTGCAGTCTCGTCCAAAGCGGAATACAACCGGCCACATCGCTGGTTACCACCCACTATTCCCTGACGTCGCTGACGTTCGGCTTAGGGCCGTTTTATTTATTTGTTTGTTGTCATATGATTGATCTAAGTAAGCTTTGGCAGGTATTCCAATCTCATCAAATCAAAATACCCAAACAAAATCTCATTAAGATACCCTTGTAAGGGGTTTTGCTCCGACACTGGCTACCCTGTATATGTATACATATGTACAAACTACATACATATTCGGTTCACCGGGCAGTTCTGTTTTATGATATATATATGTGATCATATATTGTTACGATATATATGTACATATATTGTTACGATATATATATGTACATACATGTGTATACCCTCAAACACAACTGCCCAGTAAATCGTACGCAGAGAGGGAGAAGAGGACAATAAACGAGGGGAGGGAGGAGGGAGGGAGGGGGGAGAGAGAGAGAGA